AATGATGGACGAAAGGTCTGCCCATTTTCGCCTGAAACGAGGGAAGAGGTCTCGTGGACTGCATCAAATTGAACGTCGTATCAGAGTCAAACGGCTGCAGTACAACGGGATTCATCCGTCCTCTTCTAGTGAGCACTTTCATACGAAATGAAATTCACCTCAACAAAGTTATATTCAAGCTTTTATTTCTGAACACGTGAAGGAACACATGGTATTGTCCAAGGTGTGATTTATTACCGTATCCATAAGTCCTTTCGCATTAACTTACTTCACTTTCCATGCATTCTTGAGGGAACCTAGCGTCTCTGTATACGTCCTCTCCAAATCCCCGTCTTTCTTTGTCCTAACATATGCTAAACTAACTCATCTGTTGGCTTACCCCATTGCCATTTGTATGGCCTATCCATGCAACATTGAATTGTCATTTTACAGCAGAACACTTTGGCCAGATAAATGCTCATTCGGCTGCAATCGGCGTCCTGCCATCGGCGCCGACGCTGTGTCGTCGGGCGTGCCGTTCATAAACGTGACCTCGACGCCGCTGCACGAACGTCTCGGTAGCAGTCAACGCATGAGTCCCGCAGTCTTGCCAAACGGCAACCTGTCCGGCTTCAGGGGCAGAAATACGCCCAGCTTCTGCAGCTTGGGCACGAGTCTTGTGGACCACTCCGTTTATTCCCCAACGTGTGGGACACTAAAAGAGATGCCCACCAGCATGCTATTGCACACTCAGGAGGTACGCGAAGCCCGGCTGACAGCAAATGCCACACTTCCGGCAGACTGTAGCAGGTACTCTCTGACTCGTGACGGTGGCAGCCAAAGTCTCCTTCGATTGGACAACCGATAATGTATCTTTGAAGCTTCCTTCCTTTCGCCTAAGAAATTTTCTTTGGTTATATTTTATGTAGAAGTAGCACTAATCTAATATACCTTTTAATGCATGACTGTGTTTTTTCTGGTTCTATTTCTACTTACAATCTGTGGCCGATGGGAATATTGCCGGTTCGGTTGGAAAATCTGACTATAAGTACCTCCTATTTTCCCATTTCGACATCGAAATCAGAAAAAGCATTACTCAATTTGGCAGGGAACTGTGGTAAGTCATAGGAAGACGCTGTCGCCGGTAGAAACTTCCGAATTCGAAGCCGCTAAACTCACTGGTTCTTCAATCCCTCAGCGCAATCACATACAGGTGCCATGTGCGTAAAAGAGTGAGGAGGAACTAAATAAGTAAGACTTTTAGACCTTCAACACGTTTTAGATCTAGAAAGTGATATGTGGTTAACTTATGCTGCTAAAAAAAGAAACTACGTATCAAGGCGTGGTAGTAAAAGGTTTGGAGCGGCATGGATGCAATGATCAATGGTAAACCTAGCTTCTCATTAGGGAGGCCTCCATTACGTATGTAAGTGCATGAAGAAGTTATTCGTAGATTGATTTCACCGTTGTACGGCAGCCATTTGGCTTTACTACGACGTTCAGGTTGACGTTCATTATTGTAAAAGTATCAAGTTAACACTTGTTCAAGAATACTATTCGGATCTTATAGATACTCATAGCTAAAGCCAAAAGCGAGTAGACATAAATAAATATAGGATGGTTTGGTTAAATATCTTGCATACTGCTCCTGCTACTTTGCTCGATTGTTTGTATGCATGTGTGTGTGTCAACATCCATATGCAATACCGGTCCCAAATCAGATTGAGCAAAAAGGCTAATGTCAGGATCTGGTCATCATCTGAAAAAATGTCCTGACCGAGACTGCGATGCGTAAGACTTTCACAAGAATGAGTTCCAACTTTGAAAATGCTCATTATTGTTGGGCGAAAGGCCAGCACGTTTTCATCCGAACAAGTGAGGATGTCTCATGGACTGCATCAATCTAAACGTTGTATTAAAGCCAAACGGCTGCAGTAAAACGAGATTCAGCAGTCGTCTTTTGGTGACGTCAACCTACGAACCTCTTTTTCATGCATTTTAATACAAAACAGAGGCCTCCCCAACGAGGTTATTGCAGAAGATTTATCGAAACCCAGTTACCCTTCGTACCGAGCTTCTTAAAAAAATACTATTTCGACAAATGATACTCCTCAGTTTTGTTTGACAAAAAAAAGATAAGCTACACTTAAATAGTGCCTGCCAAGAGACAAGGTAAAAAAATACATTTCCACATATCATATTAGTTAAGCAAGATCTTCTTTGCTGCTTGCGAAAAGGGGGTAAATCAAGATCTCGAATCACCTCAGTCATCTTTTGGCTTTACCAACCATTCAACAAGGAGTGCCAAAAGTAGTATAGCAACTAAGATCGTATATGGTTTTTATCTAATTAAGCCCTATGAAAATCAGAAGTTGCCCACAATTTGTTTAATTAAGTAAGCATTTTTTGTCAATTTAGAAAATTAGAGTTATATATATCTTAGGCTGCGTGTTTAACTTTATAATTTTAGATAGGAAGAGAAACTGGGTTTCGATGAATCCCTTGAGATAAAATTGTTGGAGGGACTTTCATTTCGTATGAAAGTGAATGAAGAAGTGCTTCGTTGGTCGATCTCACCGTTTGGCTTTTATACGATATTCATGTTGACGCAATCCACGAGACTTCCTCCCTCGTTTCGGATGAGAACGTGTTGAGCTTTCATCCATCATGTGATGGGCATCATTAGAGCTGGGTGTCATTTTTTGCGCAAGAAAATAGCATATTTCCCCCAGTACATAAACTCATTCACTTGCTTTTACTTGCGACAGGGATACCCCGTAGAACGTACCTAGTCTTGCGCTTTTTGCCATAGCATTCACGATGATTACCAGCATCAGTCCGTTGACTTGGCACATTCTCAGACGTTTTACCAGCAGCCTATTCGGCATCGTCACCAAAAGGCGTCATCCTTGCACATATTTACAACCTATCAAAGTGATAAATGAAAAATCCTGTTAAACGATCTTCTGCTCAGCCGTTGTGGCACTAAACGAAGAATAATATAAATGAGTAAATGGGCAATATGAAGTGGGGTCGAGAGAAATCGATACAGCACTAAAAGCTAGCACCAAGAGGGGACGTTTTGTGATGCCACAACAGCTGAACAGAAAATTTGTCAAGGGGATTGCCTTGATTTGTCACTTTGATAAGTTGTAACTCTGAGCTAAGGATGAACCTCTAATTGACGATGCCG